AGGTGATCGATCTGATCCTAACAACAGGGGGAGGAGAGAGGGGGAGAGGAAAGAGCTAAAAAAGAAGAGGGATCAAGACTTCCTCCTCCTGAGCTAAATCTAGGAGATCATCATCTCTAATGCACATAGAAAAGAACACACAGCTCTTCATCAACACAGAGGAGCTCATGTAGATCCTCTGTGTATGCACCTTGCCACCTTAAGAACCATATCGTTTCTTGACCTTCCCCTTTCCCACTCGAGTTTCACTAACTTGATCATCGCAGGAACCACCGGGGAACCGGTCCCCGCCCTCTCACGGGTTCTTCTTGTATGTGCAGCGTGGACATCAAGCCCCCGTTCAAGAACCAGACATAAAGTCGAAGAAGAGAGCGCGTCCTTCATCATCTTTCATCACCCCGCAACCATCCTCTTCTGGATTATTCTGTTTAATATCGAGCATCAACAACGTTCATATGAATGTATCCTACAATTGCAGCTGAAAATGACCATTTTAATGAGTTGGATTTTTTTTTCCAGAATTGGTAGCATGTGAGCAGTCAACTCCAAGCTTATTAATGTGCATAGTATTTAGGAAAAATAAATTTTTTTTATTTTTACTTGTGGATCAGAACAAGTTGCTCGCATACGGTAATTACGGTAATTGCGATAAAGATTGATAGTTCATCCTAATTCAACAAGCCCCAAAATATCGACCGGCGTTTCTCATAGGCTGGCCCACAGTCTAGACCGGCGTTTCAATTTTGTTATAAGTAAAATCACTTTGGTCAGTGGGCCATAGATGAGAATCACAAACCAAAAGACAACGGACCCTAGCCGACGACCGATAAAGCTCTTGATGATACGCCACTGACGTTTCATTTTTGGGCCTTTTCAGCCCGATTAAAAAGGTACATCCCAACCAAAGGCCGGTGTATCGATGCCTAAAGGCCCCATATATGGGCCTTAAGTATGGACGCCTCATTCCTTTGTGTACTAGTAGAAATCTTGTCCTTGGACTTTGGCTTCGGTGAAAGCTATGTCCAACTTGAGATTAAAGAATATTGTTTTTTTTTTGGGGGGGAAAGGAACATGATTGATAATTGATATACGTGACTTGAAAGGATTACAATGTTGTTACTAAAAAAACAAAGATGCTTGATTCTCAATAAATTAAATGACCTAGCATGTGCTATTCTCTATAAGTACTTAATTAGTATTCCCTTGCTAACTCCATATGAAGGTGTATTAAGAAATAGTTAGTGTATCAAATTCATTTACAACATTATATAGTGTCAACTCTAATGTTGGAATAGTTTAAATAACTCCTTTATCTTTTCGATACAAAGAGAATAGAAAAGGAAATTAAAGAGTGACTCCTTTATTTTCAGGTCATTTTGATTTTACGATGACACTGTAAGAGCATCTCCAACAGCTTCCCCATTTCCCACTTTTGGAGAATTTAGTTAGGTTTTTGGTCCAACAGATTCTCCATCTCATTCCCCAAAATAGGGATGAAGGAGAAAAAATGGGGAAGCTTCCCCAAATCTGCAGCATTCTCTAAATTTTTAGAGGAACAAAGAGATTCTTCAAAATGGGGAAGCTGTAGGAGTTGGTGTAAAAATTAGTTGGAGAATATGACTTTTGCTTCCCCATTTTGGAGAAAATTTTGGAGAAGCTGTTGGAGATGTCCTAACATCATCTAACTTAGTCTATTAAAGTTTACTTTTTTAAAGTTCATTTAGAGGGTGTTTGATACACTATTACAATTGTAACTGTAATAAATATTGTACGCAAGAAATATCACATGTAGTGTTTGTTGCATGAAATTAAACTCAAATCCATTGTTTGGATAGTTATGCCTTTTGTTGTAGTAAATGTACTTCCAAATACATCTCTAATGTTTGGTTAGTCACAAAACTCGTTAGATTTGTAAGAAATACATCTCTAAATGGATATTTATATTCCATTGTATGAAATACAGTTTCGCTGCAAGTCATACGTTTGTTTCTATTCAAATGTTAAAAGATTTACATTTTTGAGTTAAACTCGAGTAATTTGATGATGTGATGTTAGTTTTTAGTTTTTTTTTAATTCATGCAAGGACTAGCTAGCAACATTTGTTGCCTCCAAATTCGACGAAACAAATGCTAAGTTTTCCCTATAAAATGTAATTCCAATTACCCACTCTAGCAACCTAGTAATAAACCAAATATTAAAAATAGAATTTTGCTTGCAACATTTTTTTTTTGAGAGAAAAACAAGGGGTATTCCCCGTTCATTTATAAAACAGAAGTGTCATTAAAAAAAAGGATACAAACTATATCCATATAAGCTAGTAGATAGAAAAAGTAATTTCTCTAACTAGGGATGTATGACCTTCTTCTTTCAAACATCTATGAAGATGAAGAGAGGGCATTGTCGTCATTCGCCGTTGCCATAGATATAGGAAAGAACCAAACAGTAGTTTCATTATTAATAATAAATCTATCTATATCTATCTATATCTATCTATCTATATCTATATTTATCTATATCTATATCTATACTACTAACAAAAGAGGACTGAGGTGTTAAAACTTTTAATTTTCTTTTTTGCCCTCTCAAACTTTGATAAATTCTAACTATGTCATTATCTCTAATAAATCTTTCATTAAATAAATATAACATCTTATTAATTATGCACATCCTCACCTTCCTAAATAATTATAATTATCAATAATATTATAACTATTAATTATTTAAAAATAATATAATAAAATATTTATAAAATAAGTATATACAATTATTAGTAGCAACCACACAGCTAGCTTTCCCCACATTCACAGCCGATGACCAAATATTTATTTTTCCATCGTCCTAATCTCGCCACCTAGAATTCCTTCTGTCGCCGACAATGCAAACGTCGGATCAGGTTACCATTATCACCGCAACGACTATGGTCGCCTCACGCAGGCGGCACCATCGACATCCGTATTTTTGCAATAACAACGATAGGAGCTATTGGCACAGAAATTGGCGAACAAGGATCGGTCGGGGTTCTTGAGATATTTACATCCGGCAAGCAAGTTGTTCTCTTCGGTTAGGATGATTAGGGGGGTGTTTGTTTCAAATCCTATAATTTTAGGATATGGATTTCACCATGGGATTTGAAATCCATAGGTGTTTTGTTATGAGTTAGGATTTCTAAAATATTATTTGTTTCATTAATATTTTAGGATTTGGAATACTACAATTTGTAATGTTTTGTTTGTTTCAAGCTCAAATTGTAGCATTACCAAATGCCTAAATTTTGTAATATAATGAATATGATATCTTGGTGAGGTTACCTTTCACAAAAAAGATAAAATTAAGATTTGTCAAATCCTCTCCAATTGAGAGATAAGCACATCCATTTATGGGATTTGTTAAAATCCTTCTAATTGAGAGGATTTGGCAAATTCTAAAAATTGAGCATTTTTTGCACCTTTGGGATTCAATATTCTAAAAAATTTCTTAAAACAAACACCATATACAGAATCCAAAAAATACAAAAAAACTCACTTTTTGATCCCAAAACTTGTAATCCATACCAAATGCCAAATTTTTTGGTGAAACAAACACCCCCTAACATTAGTGGAGATGAGTGGGTCTGGATCCTTAGGATCATTTGATTCCTTTGTCAACGTTTTTGAGGAGGAGGTGTAACAGTTGAGAAATCAGTGGGAGAAACAAACTCAACACGAACAAAATAGTAAAATTCAAGTGGTACAATATCTAATCACTAATTTTTGCTGCTAACACTATTTTGCCTTGAATTACTGAAATTCATGGGAGGCACTAATCCAAACACAAACAATAGTAAAATTTCCCAGAATCAAAGAAATTAAATTGAGGATATCAACACAATTAAATTTCAGGAGACTACCTATCAATTTCATCCATCACGATGTCACATGAATTGGAGAGAGGAGATGAGAGTGTTGGAGAAGAAGCAAGAAGGGAAAAAATAGAGGAGTATTACGAAAATATTCATCCTTACTTAGGGGGTATTTGACAATCTAAAAGTGAATTTAAAATATGTAAGTTTTTTTTTACAAATGACTTTTATATCCATGTCAGCACGCAAGTGAAATAAAGTGTTTGTTTTAAAAATTAAATTATTATCGAAAGTGCAATGTGAAGATGACGTGGCAAAATAAGATTAAGTAGAGAGTAGTTAAAATCGTTTAATTAAATTAGTTACCTTTTTTTCACTTTCACGTGACTTCACCACTTTTTTAGGGGAAGTTAAAATTGAATTAAATTATATGTGACAACTTTATTTCATCCCACTTTCATAACCACTTACATGAAAACAAACACATTAATTTTTAAATAAAAATAATTTTTTTACTTTTATCTTTCACTTGCATGCAAACAAACACTCCTTAAGTTCAGCTGTCCCATGTAGTGGTCCCCAATTTTGGGTCCAAAATAAATTTTTGCTCAGAATATTCGATTCTCCCCCTCACGGTTTATCCTTAAATTATCCCCCCGAATATTCGCACCAAAAATCGAACCAGATTCCCGGCGCCCCATCTACACATTCAACTCTCAGATACCAATCCTACTCCAGCAAGTAACGACAAAACTCCATCGGAACGGAACTCCCAAACCCATCCCTCAAGCCCACGTTACCTAATCCTACTCCGCGAGTCATTACACACGAATGACGATCCTTTTAACCGCCAACGACCACGCCCGGAACATGATACGCGATTGGCTCCCCGAACAATTTTCTATTTATAAAACCGCCCCCCCCACCCTGAATTCCCTCTGCGCCGTCTAGGCATCGGCTTTATATAAGCAAGAAAAGAAACAAGAAATTGCAAAAAAAAAAATACTTAAAATCTTGGGGGTAGCAATGGCAAACATCAACATGAAGGCAATGGCTTACGCCTTCATGCTTGCCTTCGCTATTCCTACGCTTATCTTGTCCCCTCGCACCTCGGCCGAGCTTAAACGGTTCCAGCAGGAGGTTAAGGGCGATGGGTCGTTGAGTTTCTTGGCTGTTGGAGACTGGGGAAGGAGAGGATATTTTAATCAATCTCTTGTTGCATCCCAGGTTTTCTTTTCTTCTTCTTCTTCCTTTTTTTTCTTTTCTGAATATCTATGTTTTGGATTGTTTTTGTAATTTTACGTTTGTCTTGGGTGTAGATGGGAAAAACAGGGAAGAGGCTTGGTGTTGATTTTGTGATTTCCACCGGAGATAATTTTTATGATAATGGGCTGACCGGGGTTGATGACAAGCTGTTCGAGGAGTCATTTACAAACGTATATACTGCGAAGAGCTTGCAAAAGACGTGGTATAGTGGTAGGTTTTTTAAATTTATAATATTAATATTTCATCCATCCACATTGAATTTAACTTTTTCTTATATTTGTTATTGTTATTACAATGCATTTGTTCCTATGGAAATCTGATAAATTTATGGAAAAATATAGGTTGACATCAAGAATTTCGTCAATCTAAGTCCTTAACCAATTATAAAGAAAAGTGGGTAAAAATTTGATGCCACGCCAAGCTACTATTTCTCCATGCTTTTCGCGGAGAAAGAGAGGAGGGGGTCCAACATTTAACTTTCAATAACCCAATTTTCAATTCAATTTTTTCAATCCTACTAAATGAAAAGGCGAAATCTCAATCGAGTCCTTCATGTTTGGAAGCTATTTATGGGTTCCTAACATTACTCTCGTTAAAGGTTGCTGATGTGTCAATGACTTGGCACAACAAACTTCTAACTAAACTAATGTTTTTTTATTGTATGTTCTGCGACGTCAATAAGATTTAGCAGAAGTTCGTAAAAAGTACTTAAAATGATGATGAAGTTAAGGTTAGGACCTTGCGCTTATATGACTTCCAGTAAACATAAAGAACATAAATGATACTTGGCTTCTACATGAGGAAACTTCACTGCAATTTTGCCCGACAAAAAACAAGAAAATTGAAGATTCTGTGATTTTGAATAAATTATGAATTCACCAGAAACCCAAATATTGAAAATGAATAAATTTTTATTTCAAATTGAATTTGTTTTCCAATCATCTTCATAAACTTTCTGACCTTCTATGAATTTGATAAGTTTTTTTCACCCTGCTCATTCGTTTCGCGCGAATATTTTTATCTAGCTAAGAAAGAATAGATACCTCTTAAAATTATACCAAATATTTTTTATGAAGCTAGCCAATTTATTTCTCATATTTTGCAACTTTGTGCACATGCCAAATTTCTCCACTATGATTTTTCCTGTAGTTTTGGGCAATCATGATTACAGAGGCGATGTGCTAGCACAATTGAGCCCAGTCCTTCGCCAAGTTGATAGCCGATGGTTCTGTATGAGGTCCTTTATCTTGGATACAGGTAAAATAAAGTTTAATTTTACCTTTTTTTTTATAAAAAAAAATTAATACCAAACAATTTCATTTAACTCTATTTTCTTTTTTATCAGAAATTGCAGAGTTTTTCTTCGTTGACACAACACCATTTGTCAATGAATATTGGGTAAACGACGGGGGTCACAGCTACGACTGGAGGCAAGTTGCTCCTCGTGAAAACTACGTATCAAGCCTCTTGAAGGTAAACAATCATAAAATTTTGAATGTACTACTATAAGTTTCACATATTTTCAAAGATTCACCAAATACGATTCGTCTTCGATATCGAATATTTAGGATCTGGACATGGCATTGAAACAATCTACGGCGACATGGAAGTTTGTAATCGGGCATCACGCCATTAGAAGCGTTAGCGAGCATGGCGATACTCCAGAACTCATAGAGCATCTTCTTCCAATTCTAGAGGTAGATAAACTTTTGTTATGCAAATTTGGAGCTTTCCCTCCCTTTTTTTTTCTGCATGTTTAATTTCAATTTACGTTTATAATAATTTCAGGCTAATGGTGTGGATTTCTATATCAACGGACATGACCATTGTCTTGAGCACATTAGTAGCAATGACAGGTAAGAAGCTTTTAGATGCTTCACTTGATCTTTTCTTCTCGCAGAGGTAATGTGTTTTTGTGCCGATAAGCAAAAGAATCACGTGATTGATCTCTACTGCACACAACAAGTCTCAAGATCAAAATGCAAAGAACATTTAAACGTTTTTGTTAGGTTTCAAGCAAAATGGCAAAAAACAACAAAGTTTTTGTCGTCGTATTCTTCTATCCAATTCTGTTAAAGGTTTATATCATCCGCGAGTTCATCACTCTCGCATCCTTTTACTTGTTCACGATTAAGTTCTTTCTGGTTTATTAATCCTTGTTATTCCATTAATTACCATCGTATCGCTTCTTTTAATTCCATTATACATGCTAGAACTATCTAAGCCGTTTTCTCTTATTTTATATCCAAGAGGAGCAGCTCCTAGCTTTTATTCTTATTGTAACTTTTACTGAGCCTTCACATGTTCATCATAACATTCTTATTTCTGCGACATTTATTTACTTAAGCAATGAATACTTTGGGTTGTTTTCTAATTATGTTCTCCTACTTGTTTCAGTCCTATCCAATACCTTGTTAGTGGAGGGGGATCAAAGGCATGGAGGGGTGTTTACAAGCCAAACAAGGACAAAGTACAATTCTTTTATGATGGTCAAGGGTTCATGTCCATGGAGTTGACAAAGATTGATGCCAAAGTGACTTTCTATGATGCATTTGGCAACAATTTGCATGAATTTAGCATGACTAAAGATATGCACCCAACATTGTAGAGGAGAGTTAAGTGTTGTATGAGCTTTTGTACACAAGAATTGATGGATTTGTTGAACAGATTGGCTAAAGGCTTGAAGGCAGAGGTTAAGGCATAGAGGGGGATGTGGATAGTGTATTGTACTGGTCCTCTCATTTGCAACATGATGTTAGTGTATTAGATTGTTTTATTGATTTGATTATATAGCAAACTGTCATTTGCCTTGTTCTGCTCTAACCTAGAAAAATGTTCAGGCAGAGATTGCATTGGAAATTCTATTTGCCCAAGAGTCATACTTTTACATTTAATTAAATGGGACAGTCATATGTTTCATGTGAAAATGAAGCAGCCAGGTAAAAGACCATAGTTCTATAAGAAAAACTTAAAAGAGTAGAATCTCAGTGGACAATGACAAAATGCACACACCCAAGAGGGTTTAGCCGAGTTAGTACGCTATCTATAAGTAGTACTTCAAGATCTCAGATTCAACTCTCCTAAGAGGCATCCACAAAAATTTAGTTTCCTGAGATATTGGAGGCCGTGCGCTGGAGCGTGCCTCCGAGCCACATTCAGGGGTTTGATACCTATAGTCTAAAGGACCATACGGGGAACTTACATAGTCAAACCGAAAAAAAAGGACAGAACACACCAAATAGTCAACTTATAAAACAAAATAGTGCCATGCATATGAAGTTATGATAGTTGGAATTTAAAAGAAAATCTGAAAAAATCAGTAAATAATAACCGCGGTGTGTGTGTGTGTGTGGAGCGAAAGGATCAAATAGTCTATTTATGAAACAAGATAGACTTGAGCATCAACGACAACCTATTGGAACTCTTTGACATCAAAGCATCTCGTTATGCCTTTGGGTATAAAGCCCACATCTAATGGAATGACATTATGACAATATTGCATTACACTAGCATAGATCATCGATTTGGAGCAGCGTGACACATCGACTCAGAAACATATATTAGTCTTTTTCATCTTCAAATTCTTCTTATCACCTCCTCTTAACGTACTTTTTCTTGATCATTTCTTTCTAGTTTAGTCTGTGAGCATGTTGCTCCCATTACTAAAAAATCCAGAGCTCAACGAACATTCTTTGATATCCGACAAGTTATACAGACTACAATGAGGGGTTCAATGTGCCATCATTCTTATCCAATTTCGATTCGCTTCAACTAGATAAGGAAATTATTGTTCATTAAATTACTCAAATATCTTCATTGCACATGCAAGTTCTTCAACTTGCAAGCAAACACCAAGCAGAGAAATCCAATGGCTACAGTAGAGTAGATTAGTAGATATGGGAGCATGTTAAGCTGATAAGCCCTTTTCTCAATGCAACAAGAGTGCTCCATTCCTCCGCTCAACGAAAGGATGCATCTTATACAGGACAAAATACCCATAGTTTTTTGGCCAAAACTAAGGTATGCCTGCTGCAAAAATACTTGAAAAATGTATAGCTGATAGATCTGATACATGATTGAGGGTTTGTCGTGGAATCCATTAGAATATACCGCTGCAGATTCTATAGATACAGATATGAATGTCAGATAAAATACAATATAAAAATACATGTATACAGAATCTCAAAAAACATAGATGCAAATTCTTTGTGAATGCTGCAATTAAATTTTTTTTTGAAACTCTTATTAAATGCATTATAGACTATTAATGTGTAAATTCAAAACATAATATAAAGCTAAATCTGAACTCAATATAATACCTGGCTGCAGCTGCAATCCAGGACCTAATAAAAAGACCAGTATATATTAATAACTCATAAAAATGAGTACACTCTGTGAAGGCATCCGATACACACAAAATTTTTGGAAAAATTCTATTTACAGAAAGCCCCCAGTTCTTAACCACACTGATGGTAGCCTATAAAAGCCTACCAAGAGAACAACAGAATATTGCAAATTGAAGTCAATTCTTCAATCCTACTCCTTTCTCTCCTTAGCTATGGTTAACTTCTATTTCAAGGCCGTGGCTATGGCTTCTGTGCTTGTTGCTGTTATTTCTATCGATCTCTTTTCTTCTCAAACTTCTGCAGAGCTTCAAAGGTTTGAGCACTCGCTGAAGAATGTTGGGTCATTAAGCCTTTTGGTCATTGGAGATTGGGGGAGGAAAGGAGAATTTAACCAATCTCTAGTTGGATCTCAGGTATCATAATCATCCTTGTCACTATCAATTTCCCATTTGTGCTCTCATGAAAAGATTTTCAATTGAGATAATCAAATTCAAGTAATTTCATTTGAATTGGATATAGATGGGAAAAGTTGGCGAGAAGCTTGATATAGACTTTGTGATATCAACCGGGGATAATTTCTATGATAGTGGATTAACCGGTGTTGATGACAAAGCATTCGAAGAGTCATTTACCAACATATACACGGCTAGGAGCTTGCAAAAGCAATGGTACAGTGGTAAGTGTTCATATTCTTCATTTCTTTCTCTTTGTTTTACTTACAATTTGTTGATTTATGATTCTAATTGTGTGTCCTTATGTTGATTGTATTCAGTTTTGGGAAATCATGATTATAGGGGCGATGTACAAGCACAATTAAGCCCTGTCCTTCGTCAGATGGATCACCGGTGGTTTTGCATGAGATCCTTCATCGTGGATGCAGGTTTTTAACAAAAAAAAAAAAACTAATTAGACTCACTGATAAATTGCTTTTCTGGATAAATTATTGATTTATATACTTCTTCCATCAGAAATTGCAGAATTTTTCTTTGTGGATACAACTCCTTTTGTCAAATCATATTGGAACGAGCCATGGAAGAATAATGACTGGAGAGATGTGTCTCCTCGCCAGAATTACATCTCAAATCTCTTGAAGGTAAGAATATTAATATTCTGGTTATACCATTCATTCAATAAATAATATTGTTTGATATTGATAATTAGGATTTGGATATGGCATTGAGGGAGTCAACAGCAACATGGAAATTTGTCATTGGACACCATGCAATCAGAAGTGTTAGCATACATGGAGATACTGTTGAACTTGTAGATGAGCTTCTCCCTATTCTTAAGGTAAGTGTTAACCATCAATTCATTGAAGAATTGCTTTTATTACCTAATTAATCCTAATTATTATGAATATTACAGGCTAATGGTGTTGATTTATACATGAATGGCCATGACCATTGCCTTGAACATATTAGTAGCAGTGATAGGTAAGCTCTCAATGAAGTGATATATCCAGATATACAACAATTGTTATATGATTCATTAAAGTTGTTTGTGACAATTTCGGTTATGTTTTCTCAGTCCAATTCAGTATTTAACAAGCGGAGGTGGCTCAAAAGCGTGGAGGGGCGTTTATACGCCAAATTCGGATAAATTGCGGTTATTTTATGATGGCCAAGGTTTCATGTCTATAGAATTGACAAAAAAAGAAGTGAAAGTTGGGTTCTATGATATCTTTGGGCACCATTTGCATCAATGGGGCATGACAAAAGACTTAAGCCCTTCAATATAGGTGAAATGAATAAGAGGATATTGGTATTGGGGATTTTGTTGGTAGCAATTTGATGTAATTGCATCGTTCATTTGTTGGATGATGAGTTTATTACGTTTGACTATATGTATATTTGACTATTCGGTATTTACCTATCAGAATAAGCTAGATTCTGCCAGCTTTGTTTCCCTTGCATGTTGAGCTTGGACTTAGTTTCTAATATCTGAGAACTTTTTTTTTTTTTTTTGTAATTACAATTAAATGTTTTCAGTGCTTAATATGAACTGTTCCCCATAAGAAGCAACATCAACCCTTACCATTGAAACAACAGGAAGTTGTCTAAAGTAAGAGGAAAGAGGGGAACTTTTTTAAATAAATTATAAAAGTTCAGAAGACATCAATCAAGCCCAAAGAATAGAATAATAAAAGCCATCAGCAAGGGGTGGAGTCATTGAAAAACGAACACCAAAAATAACAATTCTGCACCCCAATATTGATACAAACCAACAAAAAAAGGACCACAAAATCTATCTAAGCCTCTAATGAGTACCTTCATTGATCAGATGCTTCCTGTTGAGTAAAATGAGGACTTGCAGTTAGATTAAACCGTTGGAGAAATTAGCAAGGCAGTCAATTATTGGTGATCCTTGTGATAGAAAATACTGCCCTCTTCCTTGCTTTTAACTGCTATCATGATCAGGACCAACATTATAGCCTGCAATCGAATTACCAAATAAAATTAAGGCACAGTGAAAATAAAAGACTTGCTTTCCCATCTATTGGAACCAATAATGATTAATACCGTCTCATAAATTAAAGTCCTTTCAATGTGATCATATAGGCAATCGCTTAAAACATTAGCATGAAATAATGCAAATAATAACAATAATAATGACAGAGGAAGAATTTTTCAGAAGAACCATCCTCACTGTGAAGAAAAATTTGAATTATCTTTCCCAATAATTTAATTTATAGAGAAGGGACTGACATATGATACACCAGTGACCAATAGTTTCTAGATACATCTAATTATTGTTAAATTCCTTCTTCAAAAGATCAAACTCTTCAGTTCTTCTTTGTCAATTTTTTCTTCATAGCGAGTTTAGTGTCTCAATGAAAGATGGTGAGTCTAGTTAGTACTGAAAATTTATACACATGTTAGTCACCGCACCAAAACAAGCAGTCTCAGCACTTGCAATTATTGCCCGAACTTGAGTCTATAATTTTCAAGTTCTTTACCCTTTTACTTCATATGTTATCCTAAACAATAGCCATTTCACTCATTTCATCAGTTATTCCACAGGTTCAAGTCCATGAGTTATTCCACAGATTCAAGTCCATGATAAAAATTATGATCCCATCCTCCTTATGCTAGCTTTGTCTTTACAAAGTATTAACATTAAAGACCAAAAAACTAATAGGAGTACAAAATCAGACACCTGAAGCCTCAACTGGAAAGTACCTCACAGTTTCTGGAAGAATCACTCAGGTCTGCCAATGGCTTTTACTGCATCCAAGATTTCTATATATCACACTTTTGTAGCTCAGATGGGTTCACAAAGAAAATACTCTGGTTGGATACCCAATATGGCAAAAGCACTATCAAATCTCTGTGTAATGACTTTACATACTCCTCCCACATTTCAATGGCAAGATCGAAGTCGTCCCAGCTAAAGGAATAATCTGACATTTCACATGTGTGACCCAAGACTCTCTTGACAATCTGGTGGTCACAAGGTAAATCCAATTTGGACACTCCCTTTTTCTCCGTAACAAATGGTTGCCTGGGTTTAATGTTACCTTCAGTTTTTCTTCTTGCCGCTGAAATTAGAGGGGCTTTCCAGTAGTAAAATTGTACCACCTATTGCAAAAAGATTATTCAATTAGAACATTTAAACTTTGATTGCAACAAAGTACTTTTAGTCTTAGAGCTTTAAAGAGTCAAATAAAAAAATCAGCTGTTCAATTGGTATTCAGATTCAGTCCAGATTCAATTGGAAAGTTTACTTATATGTGGAATAGTTCAAATAGCCTACGAGATTTAAGCTCAAGTTAATTTTTTCTCTAAAACTATTATTTTCAATAGTTTTCTCCAATGACAATGGTGCTTAATTGGGGAATTGATTCTAAAAGAGGAAAGTTTTAGCAAAGAAAAGTGCACATGATGGGTCCAGTTAGGTAATGGCAATTACTCATGTTCTCTTCGTTGTGAACAACAACGCTTCAATCTCAATGCAACTAAATGACATGTTTTCGGTTGCATTTTTCGTGTTCTTTGATGTGCATTTATTTGTGTATATGACACATGTGCATGCGCAAGGACCTTAGCTGTCTAGATGCAAACAAGATTATTCAATAATCAGATCAGTTGTCCAATATTCTCTTTTACAAAACTAAAAATCATACACTGAGAACAACCAAACTTCAAAAAAATATTGACTAGACATATAAGAGATGGTATACTATTATCATATACAGCAAAACCTGAAAAGATAATTGGTTTATCTCAAACGAGCTAATGGCTACCTGAAGAGCATGCAAACCATTAGCAAATTCCTTGTGAAATATTTCATCACCTCGACCCAGTCGTAATGGTTTGCTAAGAAGCTCCAGAGGGTCTGAAGATGAATCAGCCCCATTGCAAGATGAAAAAAGTTGAAAACCAAGGATGTTAAGTCTGGCATTACGAATGTCAAAACCAAATTGATCATGAGAGAACCAATACATATTGTCTGGTGGAGGGGAAGGGAAGCAAAACTTCAGTGTTTCAACCTCACAGTTAAGTAGTCTTTGAGACAGGAGGGATATCAGCTTGGCATCCTCATCATGCTCATTGTTACGGGTGAACCACAGAGTTAACGTAAGCCTTTCACCATCAAGTACCTGATTTCCCAAAGAGAAAGACACCTACTTCATAAATATAAAGCAACAGCTCCTTATTTTATCCCCAAAATAAAAGTTTGGATGCAATGGTATACACAAAGCAAAGGGTTAAAACAAGGTATAGTACAAGACAATCATGATCTAATTTGTATGTAGATTTTACCAGATCATTTGCCATGTAAAATTTACCTCATCCACAGAATGAATGTTGCGAATGTCTGCTGTGTACATCAAAACATCCTAAAGATATACAAGGAGGAAATTAGTTCCCTTCATCATATGTTTCTTACAAGCACATAGACTCATGGTAAAGGAGTAGAATTGCTTACTCCAGCAACAGGAGTAACAAAGGAGGGCCCCCCATCCTTAAAGCGGAAAAGTCCACCTTTGAAATGCTCTTCATGATTGTTCAAATAACAGACTGCCTTTATCAGGAGAAAGGAAGTTGTTAGAATAAACTATGCTACTTCTGTCTTAGAAAAAAAGGTATACAGTTTAATTCAATAGAGGTAAATCTTTACTTAAAAATAAATCTCTCTCTCTCACTTGTTACTTGACTTCTTAATTTTAAAATGAGATAATTTAAAATTTTGAAGATGAAGTATCAACATTGCTTCATATTTCCGTATTTTTGCCTATTAATAGGGCATTTAGGTTTTCCCCCCTGCTAGGATACTGTAACCTATTATGTTAGCTTGATCTACATTATTTACCCATGACACTATAATTTAAACTGTCAGGTCAACTGGTTCTTGATATACAGGCAGCTTTTAAGAAACCTTTGAAATCCTCAGGGTGGGTATTCCCCAGTTTACAGGAGGGAAGAAAGAAGCCTTGTCAGATAATGTGTTGATCCAAATGTCATAGGTAGGGTTCAAAAATGAGAATTACAAGACATAAATTTAACAAGGTTTTTGCATATATACACCTCAAAACTTCCATATTTGCAAAATTATCCCTCAAATCTCGGTATTTGCAAAATTGCCCCTCAAAACTAGCATATTAGGTCTTTCTACTGCTCCAGTTTGAGAATGTTGCTTTTAAACAAGGCAATGTCAAAACTTCCAATAATTTCCAATAGGTTTGCAACAATTTCCTATTTAAAAACTAAAATTGGTAAGTGAAAGAGGTAGGGAGAAAAAATCAATGTGAGAGGATTGGGGGCAATTTTTCAAATACCAATTTTTGAGGGTTAAGTTTGCAAACATGGAAGACTTGAGGGGATACATGCAAAAACCCCAACTTCTATATGTTTCAAAACACTATAAACATATAAGAAAACATAAGACTATAAAACAATCAAACTAACACAGTAACTTGGCTTAGGACCAAGTATGTGACTCTCGCACATATCGACTATAACTGAAAATTTAAAAACTGCCAAGGATAGGAGTTAAAATACTCTGGGGAAATAACAAAAAGAGTTATATGCACCGCAAAGTCTCTGTGTTCCAGATACGGTCTGTTGTCGTCACTGTGCCATCCAATGTATGCTCCTTTGCACCAACTATATACACAAAGATAAGAGTTACAACAAAAGGAATTCAATCAAAGAAGAAAAGGATTCATGTGCCTGCCCCAAAAGTTTGGAGGGCTATGTTGTGTTTGTTGTCGGATACATAAAACAAGCCTAACATACACCAAAAAAAAGTTTTTTTTTCCTTTTTCGAGAGCCACATCGGGTCAACGACTGTCTATGTATAACCTCGCCAACCGCATCACAACCTCAACACAAAACCCAAATAGAACAGATCAACTACTACATTTAAGAATCCCCATAAAAGCATAAAAAAATTTATCCAAAACATAACTAGATAGAATAGAATCCTTCTAAGATGAAGGAAATCGGAAACCAGAGACACCAACAACTCCTGCCTTAGCACCAACTCCTTATGACAAGAAAGTTGAGTTCCATCTTCAGAATCACCCAAAGCTACGGCTTTTGGCGTAAATAACCTCCAAATTTGGAACTTTGCTCTTTGCGTCTCAAGGGTAGTAGTAAAATGCATCACAAAATTGCAAATTTACGATAAACAAATCGAAATATAAAATAAATACAAGAGATTAAAACCTAAATTGCTCACCTAATGAGGCCAGTGAACTCGACAAAGAGCTCGAACTCGCAGCCAAAGAAGCCCTCGACCTTCTCCTTGATCCTATCTCTGATAGAAAGAAAGGGGAGGATCAGGTGACCGCAGTCGGTGGCGATGAGGTGAGAGAGAGTGGTGGAGAACACGTTAGGGCGGTAACCGACGGTGCTGCAGCTGCGGTGAATGAACTCCAGTTCCTGACCGCGGAGCACCGGATTCAACACAAGAGGATGGGGATTGAAAGAAACCCTAGGAGAGAGAGAAAAGTTTGGGGTACCTTGCAGACGTCGAGAGAGAGGAAGCGAGGGAGGAGGAGGCGCGGATGGTCGGCGGTTGCCATGGCGCTGCAGCTGCGATCGCATTTAGACTTTGAAAAGCTTTTCTTTTGTGAGAATTGAGAGGGGCTCCAAATACTCTCTTTTTTGCACTTTACTACCCCAGAGTTTAACCGCTATTACACCTTGATACCCCCGTGTGCTTTGTTAATACTTTCTGACGCCGCTGCATCATTTCCACTTTGTGATGTCTTGTGCGCGTTCGGCTAAGCATATATTATATTACTATCAATTATAATATATATATATATAAGTATATATTTATATAATATATATATTATATATATATATATTATATATTGATACTATATATATATATATATATATATATATATATACTTAGAGCCATCAAAGTGTTTTAAAAATATTTTAAGGTATCAAAGTGAAAATTGGGTAGAAGTTTGGGGGTATCAAAGTGTAATAATCCATAAAATCGTAACTCTCAACTCAACCCAACTTTTCACGGTATTAGAGCGTTCTAGGTTCAGTCTTACTAGCTAAGAATTCTACGCGGGTAATCCCGAGATTATTGATTGTAATTACACGGGTATTACCCGTGCAATTGTGAGGGTTGTCTTCTTGTGTGATAACATCATACATCAATATACTGGAATGTAATTAATCCTTTATGAAAAATTAAAAGAAAAGGCTTTGTGGGCCTATAGGCTTTGGCGCTACATGGCATGCTACGGAACAAAATTATGACTCTCAATTCTCACTACAACTTCTTTCGAATGTTCGGAGTAGTAGCATACAAATCCGCATCATTGAGGTATCACTACAAGTTCGAAGTTTTGTAGTTGGAGAACCAGTTACCTTGCTGGATTGCTGATGCTACAACATTCGTATTCATTTCTATAAAAAGGAGAAAAACAGTAACATAGGAAGAGCTCGTCTTCTCAAAGTCCATTACATAAGAAGAAATTTAATAGACAAGAATAAATCCTGAATATACTGCAGATTCCCAGAGTCTAACTAGTGCTGCTTCATTCTCACAGTCAAATAATAGCATTTCCAACCAAAGAACAACAAACAAGAATTCTCAATGAAAACCGAAACAAAATGAAATTTATAGGCCGACAATAGTGCACTACAACATTTCTTAGCAAAAGAAAGTACAACAACAAGTGTAGACCAGAATTTGTTTCTTCACAAACTACAACAGATACAGAAGATAAGGAAAAAAAGGCGAAGCGGTTTTCCCAGTTTCGCAAACTTAGAAGCATTTCCTATGCACGATCGATGGGCCAGATTCGTCGTACTCTGCCTTTGCAATCCACATCTGCAAGTTGAAGAATAAGATGATCGATAATTTTCAAAACGCCGTTTATATGATTGCATCAGATAATAAAGAACATGTTGCATCCAAAATGTGGTATAGCTAGATAAGGAAGAGCATGTTTTATCCAAAATATGGCGTAACTAATACTCATACATAACAACGCTCGTAAGATTCAGAATTTGAAAACTATGAACCATGTTTCGCCAAAAGTCTGCACTGAGCATAGGCAAAAGGCTACCATATTCATATTGGTGGGTCAAGCATAGGCAAAAGTCCATTTCATAAGTAACAACAAATAAACAAATAAATCTATGATGCTATTGACCATACGAACACAAACAAAAAACAAGGCATAGCAAACAACTATGCAATGCAACCGAACGCATCTGTGCAGTCGACAAATTATCTGAAAGGAACTTGAACTATTCGTGTAAACTCGTGAACTTTATAATGGTTTATGAATAGCCGAGTACCAAGAAAAAATTTACAACTTAGAATATTATAACTCCTGTATGCTTATGTATATGCAGTTCTCATAGCAAAATAAAACAAGAAGTTACAGCGTACCTGCTGGAATGTGCTGAGGGATGCCAAGATAGAGCCTCCGATCCAAACACTATACTTCCTCTCCGGAGGAGCCACCACCTTAATCTTCATACTGCTCGGAGCCAAAGCAGTGATCTCCTTGCTCATCCTATCAGCAATACCTGGAAACATAGTAGACCCACCACTAAGAACAATGTTACCATACAAATCCTTCCTAATATCCACATCACACTTCATGATGGAATTGTATGTGGTCTCATGAATTCCCGCAGCTTCCATTCCTATCATCGACGGCTGGAATAGTACTTCTGGGCACCGGAATCTCTCAGCACCAATGGTGATCACTTGTCCATCGGGGAGCTCATAACTCTTCTCAACAGAGGAACTGGTCTTGGATGTTTCTAGCTCTTGTTCGTAGTCGAGAGCGATGTAGGAGAGCTTTTCTTTCACGTCTCTTACAATTTCTCGCTCAGCAGTGGTGGTGAAAGAGTAGCCACGCTCTGTGAGGATCTTCATCAGGGCATCAGTGAGGTCACGGCCAGCCAAGTCCAGACGAAGGATTGCATGTGGAAGCGCATAACCTTCGTAGATGGGGACTGTATGGCTCACACCATCACCAGAGTCGAGGACAATACCTATGGTAATCGAGTGCCAAAAAGAATAGATTAAGTACATTATCACTTGGAAGGTAAAAGTTTCAAAAGAAATCTCAAAATATTACTAATAATGAGTCAAACCAAAGACCACAGTTAAGTTCCACCAAGTCAGAATTATATTTCCCCTTTAGGCTACAATTCTATGTACCCTTAGTTTTTCTACATGCTACATATCCTTCAATATTACATTAAATATCTTTGCTCATAAAACCAGAATTGGTTGGTGAAAACGTAGATAAAGTATGTAATAGGTTAATATTTGACCGCATGAAGTCATCAGAAAAGAAACATTATCCACAATCAGATGTTTCGCCAGCTAGGCATAGAGCATATTACAAAATTATGCATAGCATGATATGTGATGTAGTCTTGTAGAAGGTTTAGTTACCTGTGGTGCGACCACTGGCATAGAGAGACAGAACAGCCTGAATGGCAACATACATTGCAGGAGCGTTGAATGTTTCGAACATGATTTGAGTCATTTTCTCACGATTAGCTTTAGGGTTGAGGGGTGCCTCAGTAAGTAAAACCGGGTGTTCTTCAGGGGCCACACGAAGCTCATTGTAGAATGTGTGATGCCAAATCTTCTCCATATCATCCCAGTTGTTAACAATTCCATGCTCAATTGGGTATTTCAATGTCAAAATGCCTCTCTTAGACTGAGCTTCATCCCCGACATATGCATCTTTTTGTCCCATGCCAACCATCACACCAGTATGACGTGGAATCCAGCCTAGTAAATTATAAGAAATGGCACCAAAACATATGTTGCCATGGTTAATGCATTTGATATCCAAAATTAAATAACATACAAGAATTTGGCAACAGAATGAATAAACATTAATTTCACTGAGACCAAGGTCCTTGTATATATATGTACTATTGTTTCTAGTTATTATTTGAAAACTTCACCAATATTGTGAAAGTTTTAGAGCCATGCCATGAACCAAGAAATCCATTTGAAAGCTTACGAATAATTTGGACAGAAAACTATGAGATAGAAAAGAATTTATTTATACCTTGACCATTCCAGTCCCATTGTCGCAAACAAGAGGCTGAATATCCTCAGCATCTGCCATCTTCTATCTGCCCCAAAAAAAAGAACATTTCAGATTAGAAGATAAAATTATATAAAACTAAGGAAGGGGACAAAAGGGAACAGCTCAGTATGCCACACACAAAAAACCAGAGGTGAAGGTAGAAATAAATTATCTTTTTTTTTCTTAATCACAAAGGAAAGACTTGTACTCGTTTGATGCCACACATAAAACTTTTTAGATATTACTCGATCCACAACCAAAAAAGGAAAAATATATAATATAGTAAGACTAACAAAATAATAATTACAATACTAGTCTGTAATACTGTTCGTAAAGAATATGCATCAACCGAGGAGAAATCTGAAATTACATTTCAAATTAGGTGTTTAACTCAAAAGATATGTTAATAAAGTCAAAAGGGGAAAAAAAGTTCAACAAAATAAAACATCTTTCCATGTAAATAGAATTGCACAATTGTGCCGTCGCTATTTTAGCTTAGAAGTTTGTCTGTGATGTAACCAGTACTATAAATGATTGGAAAAAAATCCTATCAGTGATAAATAGATAGACAGGATTCAGGAACATGGCTGAAACCCTTAGATCGAAAAAATAAAGCTATCAAGCTCAAGTTAATATAATATACTACCTAGTTTTATTCATTAACAATAGTAAAAAATCATGTTCTGAGCCTTTCAATCAACTCTTAAAGCCTATGAGCTGAAAGATAAACTAAATGAATGACCTCAAGCATTTCCGATTATGTTCATAATATGAGAAGCAACATCTATACATACAATGACCATCATAGTATTAAGGGTTAGCTGCAGATAGACCCCTTCGTATCATGGTGATGTAGCCACTTATACCCTTGAAACATTTTAATTAGCACTTAAACACTCTGAAAAGACGACATTACTGTCTTCCCCTCAATTTAGAGGGAAATATAGTCACTTTTTCAGTTAAATTAAAGTTACTTTATCAATCTCTTGCTTCGCAAGTGACATCTCAACTACCAAGCGTGTAAGTGCTAATAGAATAGTTTAGGGGTAAAAGTGGCTAAAATTAACATATTAATATAAAATGATATCATTACCGAAGAATTTTCACAACATATTATGCTATTTTATTTAGTGGAAAAAATCCAGAAATTTCTGCTCTTGTGATAGAAAAATTCATATATGGAAAAAATAATCTCTGCCACTAAAGACCTTAGGGGGTGTTTGGTCGCACAATTTTATAGAAAAATTTTCTTAAAATATCTGACAATGACAATTTTGTAATTAAAAATTTTCTACAGGTTTCCGTAAACTGTGTTTGGTTCAAAAAGAATTAACAGAAATGTTTTCTGTAAAGTACAAAAAAGTACCAAAATTTACATAAATCAATTTCCCCTCAAAATGGGCGAAAATCACCTAGAAATCTGACACTGTATTGACACTTTTCTATAAAGTTGATACTTTTCTATAAATTTAGGGGGTGTTTGGTTCAATTTCTATAAATTATAAGAAATCTTGCTATTTTCTATAAAGTTATGGACAATTTTCTTATTTTGAACCAGACAAGCAAAATAAAAAAACAAGAAAATTGATATTTTTTTACTTCTCAAAATTTTTCCTATACTTTTTTTAAGAAATACAAGAAAATCATATTTTGAGTGGAAAATATTTCCTATAATTTGTAGAAATTGAACCAACCACCCCCTTAGGGGCTGTTTGGTTTTAACCAAAAAGAAAAGGAACTAGGAGAGGTTTCCTCCCATTTTCCCATAAAAACCCATGAAATGGGTTTCCTAGAATTGAGATCACATCAACCAAGAAGAGCTTGACACATGAAACTATTTCTTGGTTTCAAGAAGTGAAATGAAACTATTGTAGGAAAAAATTTTGACGTGGACACCACATTTTTGAGATTTCCACCTTTTCCATAAAAAAAATGGAGCAATCAACATATTCTTTTATTAGTAGAAGGAGAAAAAGAGAGAAAAAAGTTTGAATATGAATAACATCTTAATGTACCTAAATTTTAAAGAAATAACTAACAATGTGTTGCATGATATAAAAAAAAAACATGAGCATATTTTTCAATGGCATTTCCACGAATTCTAATTAACACGTGCAACCGATCTACTAGCTAAAAGAACAAAATGTAGGTAAAGATCGAAGACGGGAAACGAAAAGATTGTTGAGATCGAGATAATTACCGATCGAGAATGAGGAATTAATGGATAATTTTTCGAAATCGTAGAGTTTGGGATTTCTCTCTCTCTCTTATTATTATTTTTTTTATCGAGGGGAAAAAAAGCAAAATAAAAGGAAGGGGAATGGGAATTTAGGAGGTTATAAATGAGGGAGGAGCGGGCCTCAAAGCGTTCGGATCCCCGCCTCGCTCGCCGCCGAACTGGGAGTTGGACCTAGTTTTATGGGCCCCACTTTCTACCCCCGTCGTGTGCTTCGTGGGCTCCACGTTTATGCTCTTATTAACTACCCTTTTCTCCTCGAAAAATGATACATGCACACACTCGGTTACACCTTCCGCCACACCCCCCTCTTGCTATAGCGCACGAGGCTACACTTGAGATTGTTTTTTTAAATCTCAAGTGTAGCTGCGTGCACTGTAGCTAGAGGGGGATGTGGCCGGAGGTGTGTCCAATGGTGTGCCGGTAGCGCCTCCCTTTCTCCCCGGAACCTTGTTAAATTTGGTTGATGAATAGCTCAGGAGTTGAACAACTTTTTCATGACATTAGTTGGTCAAACTTAGGAATTTGAATTTATTTCTTTCGTTTCAATTTGAATTGTATTGATTGACTTTGAAAAGTAAAGTCAACAAGATTTTAAGACACTATAGTCATTCTGTAGACGAGAGACGAATGTCTCTTTTGGTACGCGAGAATGTGATGGAATGAAATGGTCATTCTCACTTCACATTCATTCCTATCAAATACACCATCTTTTTTGAAGTTGGAATGCTCATTCTCACTTCTCATCAATTCATACTTTATGTGCGAATGAGCATTCCTAATGAAATGATAGGGAATGTGCATTCTCACTTAAATGAGAATCAATAAAATATATAATTTTAAAATATATTTATTCTCACTTCATTTTATAAATTACACTCAAATGTATGAATGAGAATGACTATTCCATTCTCACATTAATTCCATTTCATTCCTTATTCCATTCTATTCTCATTTGAGTCCATTCTCACGTACCAAACGAGACGTAATGTCAACAAATGATTGGAATTCATGCAGGAAGTTCTAAGCTCTCCAAATATCATGTAGGGTGTAGTTTCAATTTTTATCGATGCCATTGCACTCTAGAAAAGTAAAAAAAAATACTTGGTTCAATCTGGGGTCGGATTGTTCTTGGTTCTACGGATTGGCACATGCGCGCGCACTTCGGAGATTTTCTGTGTAAAATTATCCTTGACTTCTAAAACTATACTAAATCTTTTTTAATTGTTGACAAATCTCATGAACCATGTTAATGTGATTGTTGCGTCTCCTTGTCAAACAAATATATATATTTTTATTCAAATTTTCATAACAATGTTTAATTTTCTTGTGTATCAAACCTATTACTCGATTCTAATCTCTCTTAATTATTTTATTATACGCTCAAACCGGTTTAAATAGTTGATAGAACTTAAGCCCAACCTCAATAAAAAGTACTTATTGGTCTAAATTTGTGCCCTGATCAAGTTTTCACTCGTGGCTCGATCAATAAAAAAACTCATTCATTAAAAAAAATATAAATGTATACTAGATCACGGGCATGTGCATTACGCGTGTGCAAAAAAACCAATTTATTGAATGACATTCTTTTTATAATGGCATTCTTTTGCGTGTAGCTTGAAGAAATAATTGCTTAAATTTTTATACGTTTGTTCGTGGAAATTAATTCAATGAAAGGAGCAAAGTTTTATTTAACAGATTCGATAGAATATATGTATATATATTTTTTATTTTTGAGTTGAATAGTGCAGAGATCTGATTTTTTTTCTTATATATAACCCACCTTCAATAATTTACCATTCGAGTCATATTTTATAGCTATAATCCTTCTTAAATTTAGTTCTGATCGATTCATTTTTTTATTTGTACATTGATTTGATTAATTAAGCTTTATATAATTAAATAGACTTTTGTTTATGAAAAAATTATTGACTTTATCTATGTTTGTGGAAAAATATTGATTAAAATGTTCTACCAAAAAACTAAGAGAAAAAAAATTCAATTGTATAGCCTTTATCTATGTTTATGGTAAAATATGGATATAATGTTCTAGAAATAATAAAGACAAACGATTTTTTTCTTGTGAAGTACGTCTTTACCCTTTCAACCATAGTAAGAAAGAGGCATGTCCACCACTCCTCCATTTTTTCGGATTGCCCTCACTTGGATCATTATATAATAGTATAGATATACATTCCGAACACTCCTATTTAGGTATACTAGTTCTTGTGCATGTGCAATTGCACGTGATTAAAATATCAAAATTATTATTATTTTTATTTATTTTCTTATTATAAAATAAGACAGATTCATTTTGAGCTAAAATCTATAAATATGGATTATTACATTTCCCATAAATTTTATTTAAACATTTAAAAAACTATGAAATAGATTGTGCATAAAACTGGGATCAATATACTTTTATATAATTGCATACACAATATTTATTTTTAAAATTATATCAAACTTCATGTAAAGTATTTGTTTATCGGATCAAATCATCGATCTCCAATTTGTTTATCTTAGTCATTAATTGTAATGTTAAGTTTGAAAAAATAGAATAATATGTTGCTGATGTGTTAATAAATATATAATCAAATACTTAATATTAAGATGATTTGTATAAGCTCAACATAAAGTGCATACATTTTACAAGACTATAAGACATCTTAATTATTGATAGACTTAAATAAAAAAATAAATACCAAAGGCATACATTTTACAAGACTATAAGACATCTTAATTATTGATAGACTTAAATAAAAAAATAAATACCAAAGATTAATGATAACTCTAGTATAATTTTATCTTAATTATTGATAGACTTAAATAAAAAAATAAATACCAAAGATTAATGATAACTCTAGTATAATTTTATATGACAAAATCATTCACATAAGCATATTAAAAATTTTGCATGAAAATGACTTCTAAAGTTCCTAATTTTACTCAAAAATTTAAGTTTTTCTATAAATATTAAAAAAAATATTATCTTCTATTGCTTCTTTTTCATATTTAGTTGACTTGATATCAATCCTTCTCCACATTTATCTTTTTCCTGGGCAAATTTACTGTAGTGTCTTCATTGTCTACATTAATTGTGATATCATATTGGTATATAATAGAGAGCAAAAGACAAGACAAGTGTCCAGAAATATATTAGGATATACTTTGCTCAATCAAATTATATTATTACTTATAACTGATATATGATGCGGCATAAACATGTACCAAAAAGGTTGCAAGTGCACAACCGTGTCAAGTTATAGTATTTAAGATATCGATCCCACGAGGAAGGTATTTTGTAGGAGAAAATATAAAATCGGTTCTTATGTTGTGTGCGTGAGAAATAAGATTGATGAGTGAATGTGATTGTGAAGAGATTAAGATAGTGAAAATGGTGTGTAAATAGGTGCAAGTGTAAGTGAGAGTGGATTTGAAAAAGAATGAGTATGATCAATAAGGTGAGAAGGAAAAAATGAATAAAATCAAGAAACAAATAAAAAATCAAGAATGAAGAACAAAATTCTAGAATAAAAGAAAATACAAGAAATTAAAGATAGTGATAGATATGGATAATCTAAAATTGAACCCACTTCTTAGAAAAGGGTGATTCCCTAGAGGGTTCTAGCCTAAAGGTGAATCAAACAAAATAAAAATAAAAAAAAAGAAAAACTAAACCCAAGAGGGTTCTAGCCTCAAGGTGAATAGTGTAAGAAATTAAAATCTAACTACAAAATAAATTGCAAAATCTAAACTACAAAATAAAATTGTAAGAATTAAATGCACGAAAATAAATCTACTCTATAAGCATAAAATAAATCTAAGGCAAGAGGGTTCTAGCCTCTTGGCTATTTAACAAGAAAATAAAATCTAACTACAAGCATAGAAATAAATCTAAACTAATAAGCAATAAAAGAGAAAAAGAAAAGAAATGCAAACCTTCAAATAATTCTCCATCTTCATCTTCATCTTCATCATCCAACAAAGAGAAGAAGAGAAAAATTTAAAGTGGTGAAAAAATTATTATTATTAATTGCAACAAAAAAGTTATAATTTTGGAAGGCATTCTCAATTAAGAGTAGCCCTCCTCTCCAAAAGGAGTTACAAAAATTTTTACCCCCTTAACCCCTCACTCTCTACCCCTATTTATAGTAATCTTCAATGAATATGAGCCATTGGATTTGTCTTGAGCCCCAAGCAACAATCTCCACCTTTGAATTTGCTTTTTGTTCTTCTTTAGCCCATATGATTCATTTATTTTTCAAAAAGAAAATAAAAATCCAGCCCATTGTAAAATGCCCGGCCCAATTCTCTATTAAATGATCTGCAGCAGCCCAATGAAGTCCGGTCCATGAAGCTTGTGATTAAAATTCAATAGCAGGTCATTAAATGATCTGCAGCAGCCCAATGAAGTCCGGTCCATGAAGCTTGTGATTAAAATTCAATAGCAGGTTCGGTTATGAGATTTGATTGCAAAATCTCCAAGTTGCAGCACACATCCGGCCCACCTCATCATGTTATTTTTTTTCTTTTTTGTGATTATCAAACTGCAGCACATAGGTCCGGCCACAAGCATTTGATTTCGTTTGATTTTTGAAGTCCAGCAATCAATGATGAAATTCCAAGGCCCAAGCATTTGATTTCGGCCCAATGAGCAAGCATTTGATTTCGGCCCATCACACTCCATTCATGCAGCAACAGGTCCGGTCCTTGGAGTTGATCTGCAGCAAAGAAAATTAAAAAACAAAGTCCGGTTTCATTTGATTAAATGCAGCAAGGTCCACATCCATTTGATTAAAATCAACACCTGCAAAGAAAGAAAAACCGGCCCATTCATTTCTCAAGCAAGGACAGCTTTATTTCTTTTAGTTCCAGTTCATTTTTAGGCCTAAGTCCCCAAATTTTGGTAATCACATTTGGGCCTAAGTCTCCAAATTAGAAGCGTGAAGAAAGAAAGAAAATTCAGTTGCATTAATTTGATGATAACCGGCTCATTCATTTTTCCCTTGAATTCCCACATTTTGGTATATTTATATTTATTCATTTCTTTCATTTAATCGATGGGTTTTTGTATTTTGGTATATTTATATTTATTCATTTCTTTCATTTAATCGATGGGTTTTTGTTGAGAGATGAGAGTTTGAGATTTATT